GTCCATTTATAAAAGCGTTGTATATTAAAAAGATTTTTTTATTTTTTAATGGTTAACTATACATTTTTAATATCAAAAGATACGAGGAAACTCGGCATTTCTGCGTGTTCCTCAAAAGAATAAGTAATACAAATTCATGGCCAGTCAACAAATTTTTTAGGAGCATAATGGGTAAGTTCAATTCAAGTCTGACTCACAATAAAGTCGATGTTAAAACATCGTTGAAACTGGCATCGATGTATCGCCAATTTAGTGATTTTAGACACAGCTACAAAAATGAAGCCATCACCAATATGCCAATCCGACTCGATATGGGTAAAGGGTCCAGATTTCCTGTATTCAGACGAAGACATGTGGCCGAAAGAACCTCTGCACCTATATTCAGATCATTGTGCCAAAGAAGAGTCCAAGAAATGTATGCTAGTTACAGCCAACAAAGCGGTACACATTATAGAAGTACACAAATTTTCGTCGTATCTAAGACTGTTAAGAGTAACTGCCTGGGTTAAGCGCTTCGTCGGTAACTTGCAAGATAAGCAGCACCAACGAGGAGAACTCACAGCCAAAGAGCTGAATAAAGCCGACATCTACATTTGCCGACAAGTTCAACTTGAAATTTACCATGAAGAAATCAGTATTCTACAAAATAAGAAATGTTTGCCGAAGTCAAGCGCACTATACCAGCTTACGCCAAAGTTGGATGAGGATGGCGTCTTACGTATTAATGGTAGAATCGACGCAGCCTATTGCTTACCATATACAGCTCGCCATCCAATAATACTGCCAAGTAGCCATTACCTTACGACCCTAGTGATGGATCACTTCCACAGGAAAAGACATCATCATAACGACCAATTAACAATTAACGAAATGCGACAGCATTTCTGGATACCACGGTCCCGTTGCCTCTTAAAAGCAGTTAAAAGAAAATGTCCTGTATGTATTCGCAGTAGCGTTAAGCCAGTTATGCCGCTGATGGGTCAATTGCCTCCCGATCACCTCACGCCATATGTACGACCGTTTTCATATGCGGGTGTTGATTACTGTGGACCATTTTGCGTTGCCATTGGCCGTCGTCGTGAAAAGCGCTGGGTAACGCTATTTACATGTCTTACCACGCGAGCGGTGCACATTGAGGTAGCTGAAGATCTGTCAACCGAGGCCTTTATTATATGTCTGAGGAATTTCGTCAACCGCAGGGGTGTACCTGTTCGCCTGAGAAGCGACAATGGCAAAAATTTTATTGGGGCGCAGCATGCACTCGAAAGGGATCAGCAACTCTTCGATTTCGATGTCATACAACAAGAAGCCGCTAAGGAGAGAATCGAATGGGTTTTCAACTGCCCGGCTCATCCAGCATCAGGGGGATGCTGGGATCGTCTGGTGTAATGCGTTAAGCGCATTCTCCAGAGGGTCCTCAAAGACGAAGCACCACGCCTTGAGACGTTTCGCAGCGTACTTATAGAGGCGGAAAACATAATTAATAGCCGTCCTTTGACAGATATCCCGGTGGCAGTCGACAATCCGGAGCCCTTGACACCGAATCACCTTTTACTGGGCTGCTTAAACTCCACACAGACACCAGCGGCAAGCCAGGAAAACATCTGCTTACGCAGTATTTGCCGCAACTGCTCACTCGTCCGAAATGGCGCGAAGAAGTCCAGCCATTTAAGGTGGACCAGTTGGTTGTGGTATGTGACCCGCAACTACCAAGAAGTCAGTGGAAAACGGGTCGTATTACAGAGGTCTTCACTGCGAAAGACGGGCAGGTGCGAAGTGCAACAGTACAGATGAGCCACGGCCTCCTGCGTAGACCGGCATGTAAGCTAGCCGCTTTAAAGCTGTGAATCCCCAAGGATTCACGGGGAGGTGGAATGTAACTGCACAATTAGCATCTTAACAAAATACTTCCCTGTGCGTTGCTGAATATTATACTCTCTTTCTTCTCATCATTATTCTTATTTTCGCCATTTCATGCATTTTTATCATTCGCTATTTATCCTTATATTCATTCATTCGTTTAATCTATTCGTTGTGAACCATTCGATATAATTTGAAAGTTCAGTTAAGTACTGGACGCCACCAAAGTGTAACACGCTTACCCGTTTAAATTGTCAGTTAATAAAGACAAAATATACTTAACAAATTTCGTTTTAGTTTAAATTTGAAATCTCTAAAGCTTCGCCACAGTGTTTAGCATGGCATGGCAATACAAGGTGGTGGCACGAATACAACAACAACAACCACATGTATTTTGTATTGTGGGTGTTATGTCAAATCTCAATTCTGGCATTAACAGCCCTATTCGCGTGTTGCACAGTCGTCAATTGTCACAGTTCAATTGTCATTATCGTGTCATCAACTGTTGTCTTAGGTATGCACAGTCAATAATGACAAGCGAAAAGCTGGTTTCATTTGCCAATTGCTGCGAAAGTTTCTCTATAGTGAAACAGCTGTTCTGTGTTTATATTTTAATTGTTCCTTTTGACCGCCACTGAAACAGACGGGATTTCTTTTAAATAAAATACACCGCAGCAATGGATTACGAAACGCCGGAAAAGTGAGTAATTCTATAATAGGAAAATTTATTTCATTTTGTTATGAATTCGTGTAGTAACAGGCGTGGAAAATATGAATGTACCACTCAAGAGCAGCTGCAGTTTTGTGAAGACCAACCCGAACAGCAAACGTCTAAAATCTGTAAAAAAAAAACTGTTGTCTCGGATTTCCCTCAGAAATCTTCTTCTCTGTATAATTTCTCCTTGCTCCACAATAATAGCGGCGTACATAATAATTATTTCCTCCATGAATAGTATTCTGCAATGGATACTAATATGATGTGCATACGCAAATAATAACTTTTTAACACACCTATTTAGGCAAATAAAATGGTTCACAGTTTTCATTTAGTAAAATTTTGCAACTTTTTTCTTCAAAATTAATAAAATTGAAAATATTAACATATGTTTTAGCGTTGTCACGTACTCAATAGGTCATCACAAAAATAATAGCAATTGTCACCGTTTGAGCTTTCAAATTGCCCTTATTGATTATAAACATGACAATCGTTATAGCGGCGAGTTTTGTCATTACACGCGAATAGGGCTTTAAGTTTCAAAACTATGAGTCAAAACAAGGCGAATTTATACAAACAAAATTCGCCTTGAGTCAAGACATCACATTCAAAACGGTGGTCCGCCACTTTACTGATTTTAATGGTGTAAACCATCTCTGGTGCTAATTAATAGGGGAGGAGCTAGAGGGGCGTAAAAGTGGAATTTTCAATATTTTCAAAAGTTTATATATCGCAAAAAATTGCACCGATTTTTAAAATGTGGAGATGGTTTGAAAGGCCCAAGGCCGCCTACTCAAAAGAATCTTTGCACCATAGCATACATCAAATTAAAGGTGTTTTTCTGCAATTTTTAAAAATAGTATTTTTGCATATAGTAAATAACGTTTTTTTTTAGAAAAACGTACATTTATATTAAAAAATTGTTATAATTTTGTTTTATTTGTTTTTCTCGAAATATGTATGTAAGGTATATAAAGATGTGCATATCAAGTCAATTGTCTTTCCAACCATATCCACATTTTGAAATTCGGTACAATAGTTTTCGAAATATAAGCTTTTGAAAATATTGAAAATTCCACCTTTACCTTCCCCCTAGCACCGCCCCAATTAATTTGCACCAAAAAAATTTACACCTTTCAAATCAGTAGAAGGGAGCTGACCACGCCCACTTTTGAGTTTTGTTTTATCTCAACGGCCGCTATACCGCACTTATGCCGCACAACGAGTCACAGTAAAACCCGCTTAAGTATCTCACGAAAAATGTCAGCTATTTGAGGCGGGTTGGGTACTTAAAAGAACCCGCTTAAGTACCTCAATGCGGGTACTTAAGCGAACACAATTATTGATGAAGTTACATCTTCTTGTTAACTTACATAAATAAATCCTTGAATAAAACATCAACATTTAATGAAGTATATGTAGTTTAAAACCAAGATCGTAGCATTATCTAAACGTATAAACACATAAAGAAAAGCTTTATTGAAAAAAGTAGATAAAGCAATGTTGAATAATTTTTACAGTAATTCAATTATTTAAAAAGTCAAGGATTATACACATTTATTTATACATATGGGGCATTTCACCTCAAGTGACCCAACTTTTGAAATCTATGTCTTCCGATCAGGATAAAATTTGCACCAAGGTTAGTCCTAAAAAATAGTAGTTATGACACAAAATTTCAATGGGATCGGTCAAACACACTCCGAGTTGGAGGGTCTAGAATTTTGACATTTTGGTCAAACGGCCATTTTTTCGGATCCATATAACTAATTACCTATTGTATTTAGAAAATTTTTTCAGGAATGTTTTCGATAGATTTCTCTTCAGTCTTTACATATTTTATTTTTTTTAATTAAAATGAATTTTTTTTAATTATTTTTTTAAATAAAAAATAATTTTTATGTTTTTTTTTAAAAAGGGGTATTTATTTTTTATTTTTTTTTTTGCTCAAAAGAAAGCTTAGGTATTTTTCTTTAAGAGCTTTGTGGTCGCTTAGTGGGATGCAACTTGTGTATCAATCAAAATTAGCGTTTAGTAACTCGAAACAGCGGTTTTTTTAATTTTTAATATATGACCTATTGTCTTCTTTTTTTCGTATTATTGTGTAAGTGTCTCGGAAACCTGAAAATAAAACTTATATGAGAAGGTATATACAATTACCTTTCCAACGGTATATAACACGCCTAACCAAAGTTTCATACCCTCGATACTGCCATTCCCGTAGTTAAGGATGATTAAGATTTTTCGTAGTCTAACACAGCAGGTACTCGATTTTGTGCATCCAAACTCTTTATTAATAGCTTTGCAGAATTTTGAGTATTAGATTTGCATACCTACTAGCACAATATTTAAAAGGTATGAAGAATATGGGATTTTCCGGTAGTTAAGGATGATTAAGATTGTTTATTTTTTGCTCAAAAGAAAGCTTAGGTATTTTTCTTTAAGAGTTTTGAGGTCGCTTAGTGGGATGCGACTTGTTTATCTATTAAAATGAGCATTTAGTAACTCGAAACAGCGTTTTTTTTATTTTTTAATATATGACCTAAGTTTTTCTGAAACCTGAAAATAAGACATATAAAAAATTAGATACAATTACCTTTCCAACGCTATATAACAATACCCACAATATGTACACCTTTGGAATAAAATAACTGTTTTTCTATAGAATTGGTCAAAATTATGAATTTTTTTATTTATTTAGAATAGTTTTTAATATATAATTTAATAAATAGATACATAAAAAGTATACAAGATAGTTAATTTTATAATAGCCAGCCTTCCATCCACCTTATTTTCCACCTTTCTTTGTGGCTTTTTTCGTCAATCCTTTCTTAGGGTTACTGGGTTCTGCTGTTGATTTCACTTCGGGTTTCGCTTTTGGAAAGAAATCACATTGGGTAGAGGAAGAAAACTTCTTTAACTTGAGCCTTCCATCGCCAATCGGTATGAAAGCATGATATTGAGCGGTACCATCGATTGTTACTGCAGCATCGAATCTGCTCTTCAGTGATTTCGCAGTTTCCGCATGATCATCTTTGCTACTAAAAATTATTTCAGTTTCTTTACAGTACTTCTTTGCCCACCGGAATAAAGCTTTCGCATCTAAGATACGGGCTTGATGAGAGCATTGGAGGCTATACTTCGCTGCATTTCTTTTAATATTTGCTCCTATACCATCACATGCTCCTTTACCATGAGCAGTAGGATGAAAATGCCACTCAGCTGGTGTATCGAAATCTGTTTCATGAGCCATAAGATTTGCGAAGCTACTTTTGTTTTTAAAATGCTGACGAGCTCCATCCGAAACGTAGTATACCTTCGCTACTGTGAATTCGGATTTTAGATAATTTAGTATTATCTTCTGGTACTCATAAACAGCAACGGCGTCATGCTTCAAATCGTCGGATATGATTGCCATACTTTTATGTTCCAGTTTTCCATCTTTCATGTAGTAAATAACTATTGTAAATATAATTGCTTGGTCGTTATTGAAATGGAATGCTTGTATGGCATCCTGGATAACATATTTATAGTTTTCTGCGAAATCGTATGAAATAACGAATTCACCTGCCTGCAAATGTATCTTCAAATTTTCGAAGAATGACCGCTGCTCCTTGACTAGAAAGTCATGGGTTCTCAAGTTTACCAATCCGGTACAAATTTCTTCCACAAAATCGTCCACACTTAAGATAACTGTTTTCAATGTGCACCTTTCAGACTGCAGCCAAGATTCAAATTTGACCTCCTCCACAAATTCTCGGTCAAAAGACTTGACCAAATTCTCTTTGATGAACGTAGTTCCCGGGCAATTTGA